CCTTCCACTGGGTCACCTATGGCTGTGGATTCTGTCTAAGGATAAAAGTCCACTGAGAAAGCCTCACAGATTCAGCAGGGCCACAAGTTGCTGTCTAGTCACGTACGTAATGGACAATCTTAGCTCTTGGACAAGCATGGAAAGCATTCACATTGATTACTGCAGAAGCAGGAATATTCTTTGTAGGTAGGGTTTGCTCACTGCATGCTATTTTATTGCTGTATCAGTTCTTTACACCGAAGTTAAAAGCGTTGTGATGAGAAATTGTAAACTTTAGTGAATTGCCAAAGACGGATCCCAGTTATTTGCCAGTTTAGTCATCAAGCACCATTTAGAAGCGTCGACGGAAAATATGTTGATGACCACATTCTAATACAACCACAGAAACTGACTTAAGATGCTGCCAAACGTGGAGCACACTAACACTTGATACCACATAACAACTATTTCATAAAATTAGTGAACAGCAATTTCAAAGCCAGGCTGAATTATATTTTTGAAGCCTCCCTCTGTTCATGAGATGCTGTTTGGGACTTGGGAAAGACCGTAGCCTGTTGCAAGTTGGTTTACTCATTACTGTACCCTCATTGCTCTGTCAATCCTTCATTGATTTAGGCTGTAGCCTGTTAAAATAGATGACCATGTGCAGTGCACACGATGCGTGAGGAGGCTCCAGCCTCTCTGGGAGCCTGTGGATTTCCACTTTGCCTTCTGGCTCTTCCCATTTTCACTACAAGGGAACTCTCTCAAACTGTCCAAATCTTTCCCTATGACCCCACAGTACCTCCTGTAGCCTACAGTATTTCTCAGCTGATTAAATATAACCAGAACACAAAAAATATAACCTTTTACTTGATTCTCCTAGTTAAGCAAAGCAAGTCTTTGGCGGAGAAATAATTACATGGAAAAACAGGAAAAATGCTAATTAAAACTAAGATTAAATAAACGCTTTCTGCTTGCTCTCTCAAGCTAGTTTCGTTGTAAAGCCATCCATTACCTGCTGTAATGTGTGGCTTGCAAGACCCCCACGTAAGGTTAAGCATTTCTTGGTAGTTGCCTGGAAACGGTGCCAGCGACGGTTTGTTCTCATTAAAGGCAAATAATGCAGAGACACTTCTACCATTGTATGCCTGAGCATTTACATCAATTCCTTTTGGAGATGTGTTCACGCTCCCTCTAAAGATGCAGGTTCAGAAGTTTTCCCAGAAGTGCTGGCAGGAAATACATTTCAACTTGTATGCAGGAGTATACAGCCAAACTAATTCGATAGGAGCACTATTGCTAGACTTTACCTGAATCCATGCTGAAGGAAACAATCATCCCAGTTTGAGGAAGTTCTTGAAGTCTGAGTGTTGTTTTTTCTTTTTTTCTTCCTGTCCTGTACCAATGTGAAATGGTGTTTTTTAAAAAGGTCCCCTAAAAATAGGAGCAACAGCTTTCAAATCTGCTGCTTGGAAAATGAATGGGAAGAGCACCATTCCACCCAAAAATAGTTACCAGGCTGGAAACTGAGAAAGTCTTTCATGGAAAGGGAAGCCCACAAGTCTAGAACTTGTATCACATTTAGGTGAAACCACACCACTGCACTGGACACAAATGAGGGATGCCTGTGCTCAGCTGCAGACACGCTTTGGGACTTCACGTTCAGGCAGGTTGTGATGCCCAAAGTCTTCCGAAATGTGTTTTTTCTCCCCCTAAGATTCAGCTACTGAAAGCATTAACACTCTAACCTAGTTGAGACTTCTCCGAACCAAGCGAAGAGTCAGCCTGTGTGAATTTCATTAGTTTAGTCCTCTGTGGCGCCCACCATCCCTGTTTTAGCTTTGTCTAGTTAAAGCTGTCATCCCAACCCACCTCCCTCTGCTCTCCATCCAGCAAGACTTCCCCACCAGAGGAAGCCGTGGTCAATAACAGGAAGGTGCCCTGCCTCTGTGCTTCTTCACAGAAATCAATGACAGCATGAAAACACCACAGCTTCAATTAGAACAGTTTTCACTGTTACAAACTGCAGGTCAATGGAAAAAACACACGATACATCTCAGATTGTGAGGGCATCTATTCTAAGTATATTCCAGCCATTTCCTTTGGGATATGATCAGCTGGAGAGGTGGGCATATTTGTAATACTTAAATGCCACAGCTGGCAATCCTGCGTGCTTGTTTAACATTTCATCTGCAGCTTGCCTGCTAGATCAGATTTGCCTTAGATTTGTATAATCAATTTTGAATTGATTTGAGGGAGGGAAGGACCGCGGTGCTACATGTATCAAATGTCTTACTATGGCCAGATGCAGGAAATGCCCTGATCCCATCAAGAGACTCAGAGGCTTTCACTGGAAGGCATCGCTGTAGTTACTACCTGTGCTAAAATTCAGCACCGTATTTAGCAAAGTCCATTCCATCACATGAAACTTTCCCCCTCTATTCACAGGAGAAACACAGCAGATTGGGAGGATCAATATGCTAAGAATAAGAGGGGGAAAAAAAGCAGATCATTTTGCTTTCCTGTTGCTTTTTTTGTTTTCTCAAATGGAAAACCACTACTAAAGATGACTAATGGCAGGGAAACACCTTTCCAGATCCTTCTCTCCATGACCACGGCAGGAATTGCATGAGGTTGCCATGAAGATAGACTGGTGACTTGTATTTCTACAAAAATTTAACTATTTTATTTCCTAAAGCAAGAAACACTCCACTTTACAGAGAACTTGACAAATACCTGGATCAGCCAGCCAGACAAATAGATACCACCAGCCAACAAGCAGATTTTATAACAGCTGCAGAAGTTTACCTTCTCTTGATGCTGGAAATAAGGGGTGAGTACAAATCCCATCCCACTAAGGGAAACAAAGACTTGTGCCAGACCATGAAGAAGGCACACAAGATAGCCAAAACAACAAAGCTATACACAGGAGGTTGTTTCTCTTCTCCACTCACTGCAAAATCAGTTGACTAGCGAACAAATGGAAGCTGCTTAGAGAGTGAATACAAGATATTAGAGCAGAACAGAGCAGTTTGAAGGGACCTACAAAGATCAAGTCTGACTGCCTGACCAGTTCAGGACTAATCAGCCCTGCTATTTTCCACGTCTTCAGAGGCTTTATGTTTTCAAAAAGCATGGGGCAGAAAGGGAAATGTACATAATGAGAACCTTATGGATATAAACCAACACATACAGAAACCAGCTCATGCTTATGAGCTTGAGGGCAGCTGGAACAAACACGAGTTGGTATATACAAGCTCAACTTGAATTATTCATGGAAAATAGCATGTAAAATTTTGCTGTACATTTGTCTCCTTTCTCTCACTGACCATTGGAGATCAGAATACATTTTCAAGCCCAATTCCGTGCATGCTTGTCAGATGGCTACAAGGACGTTTTTCCCCACATTGTGGGGTTTCAGACATTTTCAAAGCAGTCATTTGTACTCACAATGTGTTACATCTCACTTGCATCTGTCTTACATGTCTGTGTCTCTCCTCTCCCACTGGAAGACTGAAACTTCCCAGACAGAGAGATAGTAAGAAAATGAATAAACAACATGTTCCCGTGACACGCTATCGGGCTAGGTACTTATATTCTTCCTGTTCCACCACTGTTTTCTATTATAAATTCTAGCCTCATGTGAAGACTCAGCACAAAGTCTCACTAAGGTTTGAATCCGCATAATTTTGCGCTGGCTTGCTGCCAAAAGGGAAATTTTACCTGTGGCAAGTTAAAAGCAGACCCAGGTGCGGGCAAAATGAACTGCAATTGAAGTGCAATGTGTATATGCAAATGCTGTTTTGTGAGATTTGACCCCCTCCAGCAATAATACTCCAGTGCCTTGTGCAAGACAAACCAACAAACCTGCTCTAAGAAAAGAGACCTTTTGACAATTTAAAAGGATTTTTAGTTACAAATTAAGATGTTAAGATTGACAAAGAAAAGCTTGAAAATGGTGTTCTAAAGTCCACGAAGTACATTTTGCAGCCTGGTTTTAACTCTGGTTCCTTCTACACAGGGAAAAGTGTGTCTGCAGCTTAATCTGGCTAACAATTAGTGGTTTTAGCCCTGTGCATCACCAATTGTAATCTTTTTATTTACAAACATAAAAAGCAGACTTTTAAGTAAAATAACTAACGCACAGCAACTTCCTCGGATGCAGAGTCATAAGGCAGATGGATGGACATATGCATAACCGCGGATAACTGCTAATGCAGCCATTAGCACTCAACAATGTGACACTGGTTTGGGATGTTTTCTGGAAGAATTTATTTTTACAAATAAAATGCTAGCATCCCAAGACGGCTATAATCCTGCTGCCACGCAATATGTGTAAGATGTTTAAAGAGACACTGACCTTACTTCTCCTCCTTTCACACTTCTCTTCTGAAGTTTCCATAATGCCCCTTCCTCTCATCATGAAAATTGACATGAAAATTTGCTATATGACTCAAATTCAAAACTGGCTTTCTTTTAATTTCCAATTTCAACACAGGGGGACTGACACATGATGGAAGCATTTAGGTTTTACTCAAGAGAATTACTACATTGGCCAGAAATTAGTTAAAATAGACAAAAGTGAGTGAGAAAGGACTACAGTGCTAAAAGTAGTCTTCCAAAATAGTTGTGTCCATAGCAGCTGTGGCTATCAGCATGCACCTACCCAGGTATTTATTCAAGGTCTGTCACTATGACATCAGAGTTTTCTATGTTTAAGGACTGTGAATTATAGATTAGGATAAATAAATCCTCCCATTCCTTACAGCATGACATGTTTCAGAGCTTCAGTAAGAGCAACTGAGTAATCATGTAATGAAAGACAGCTTAGTCCTGGAATGCTACAACTCAAGTGGGCAGATCAGTGAAGCGGTGCTGCAAGACGACAAACAACCTAACTGTCAGCTGGTTTGTTTTTACATCATATTGATGAGATCTTCCCCAAGGGTTTACCTATAATAAAGCAGGTAGGTTAAGACCATCAATGTGTTACTAAACTTTCAAAGAATTGCCCTTACCTTTTGCAGATAAAGCCTTCTCTTTAATGTGCCAGTTATATCGTTCCATGCTGTTCACATACTCGCACACAAATACAGAAAGACAAAGGGCTCCTTTCCTGTCTACAATGTAAACACTTGCAGCCTGATAACTCCTGAAAAGAAAAAACACAGATGTTATTGTAAAAATTATGTTATTCATAAATATATATTTTTTTCCAACATTTACCTAGCACTATAAATAAACAAGAAGGCTTTCCACCACAAAATCAATCAATTTACACAATTTATAATACAGTTTTAGCTTATTTTTTCCATCCTTTACTTTTTTAATAGATTGTTTACTTCTCCCTGGTGAAGCCAAAACATAGCTATAGGGGGAAAACGGAGCACGCAAGGAAGACTCTTTCAGTCATTAGGTCTTTTTCATTGGCAACTCTCCCTGTGTTTTCATCTGTGAACTTTCTAAGGTAATGACCAATCTCAAACCATGTGCTAAAGTAATAATTTCGTGATAAAACTAATCTTTCCAATAAATAGCTCTCTGAAACACTCTATTTTTCATTTTCAAAGAGCCAGAAGGATTATGCTAGTGATTTGGATATCTATTTCTCTAAAATTGCCCTCCAAGTCTTCTTTATTCTAATGTAATGCTCAGAATCCTTAGCAAATAGGAATTGCATCTAGAAGAAGAGAAAAAGAAACAGCAAAAACAAATGTAACCTTAGAAAATCACCAATGTAAGTAGTTTCATTCCTTGTACAAAAAACCATTTGAAAACTAATCTACTGCATATTCTTTCCTTTCAGAAAATGTAAATTGATCTTTCAGTTTGAATACCTGTCAAAGCACAACCACTATAACATTGATAAGTAATTCTGCTCATCAGTTGATAACTTCTGATACGCTGCATCCTTACACGCAGTTCTGCAGGAACCTTTGCACCAGACTGCACTCAAACCAGAGTGGAGGATGTCCTCCCTCGGAGAATTTGGCCACAGTATGAGTAATGAGAGTACTTCTCCCACCAGAACTTCCCAAAATGGCACGAAAATACATCACAGATAATGTCAATTAAGGAATTACATTGAAATGAAGATTGGTCATATTTTATTTTTCTTTTCAGCATAAGGCAATTGCCTCTGTTTAATAAGTGTGCTCTCAACTGAGAATAAGAACAGAAGTGATGAATATCTCTCCATACTCCAGAAGTACATGGCTCCACGAAGTTCAAGCAAATCAGCACATACACCTTTATGAATCACAAAAAGTTAACAGATTTCTCTTTTCTTATGTACTTACTATATTAAATCAGGTTATGATCACTCCCAAAACAGATCTTGTTCATTAGTCTTCACAAACTGTTGCCATGCCCTTTCATGCAGTGAGTAGGGGGTGGTATTACCAGCTGCCAAGAACAAAAGACTGGGTAAATCTGCAAAGAAAGAGGTAGAAAAGTGGCAGCCGGTGTTACTGGGATGAGCTGGACAAGCTCACTGAGACCTAACTTTTATTACCACAATATTTAATATCTGTTCCAGAAAACTAGCTGACTCCATGCCCTTGGAAGATCACACTTGAATTTCTTTAGAATATTATCTTTAATTTTATTATTACTAATTTTTATTATTTTGTTTTAATAATTATTTTTATTATTTATTCTTATTATTAACTATTCATTTTGATTTATTTAGAACATTATCTTCAGATAGTTCAGTGTCTCTGAAGTTAAATGTACCCCAGCAGGAGCTGAAGACTCCAAGCTTTGCTTACAGACCCAGTTCTCAATGTGCCATATTCGCCCAAACTGGCCTACTAATTCCTAACTATTTCTGGCTTTCCTGCTGCTTCCCTTCTATGACATAAACCACTCCATCCCCTGTGCATGTCTGACTTAATTTCCACTTGAGGCCAGTGGATTGCCTCAGTGTCCTCCAGCTGAGCCACCTTTCAGACCCTCTTTGTTCTGTTGGAGAAACAGCCGCTTCCTCCAGAAAACCCCCGTCACAGTAACTAATTGCTTCCTTTTGCTTAAGAGAAATGCTCATCCTTGAAAGGTAGAAGCCACAGGTCAAGTAACAACACTGTAATAAATCTTCATTTCCTGCAGAATACCCTGAAGGTGATCGGTAAGTCACACTAAAGCAACTCCATGGGCAGGTCTTCACTGGAAAACTAATTTAAAATTTAACTCCAGAGTTACTGCTCACTTCATTCCCATACACAAGCGTCTGGACTGAATATATCAAGGTGCTTGTAAACCTTATGATTGGTGGAAAACGAGCTAAGATTTATCTTCAGGGAGCAGAATTCCTCCCCAGCTAACATGTGCAGCCTTGGGTTCCCGGAATCTGGCAGCATCCCACCTCTCACCCCACTTCTTTCTCTAATCCCAGAGAAATGCACGCAGACACCAGCAGCTAACTTTCTGGTAGAGATGAAGGAAGATTTGTTTGTACCAGGTATGTGTAATGCTTAGAGGAAATGTATAAATAAAGGCAAAACTTTGCAACACAGCAAGTGGTGTAAAGAGGCAAAGAAAATTCACAGCTTCTGGAACGATCCCAAGCAAACTTCAATAACATCAATCTAAGTGATAATCTCAGAGAATTAGACGGTGTTTGTTCTATAGAGAACATCTCTGAAATCAGCATTGCATTGAGGGGAGCCTGTCACCTTTGCTGTTTGGCAGAGAAAGGGGATAGCAGGTTTTCATTTGGGTAAGCAGAAGATCTTGCATCTGTTTGGCTGTGCTCAGCACAGTGCAGACACAAAGCTTAATGCAAATGCTAAAGGAAACGCCTGAGATGACTGTAATTCAGTTGTCGGATTGTACGTCAAAGGTTTTAGTTGTAGGTTTACTTAAAAAGTCCGTTTCAGGTTGTATCTAATGACCTTTTCAGTAATATTGCCCACTGTGGAGGGAAAAAAGGGAAGCTTCAGCCAATATTTCTGTCTTCCTATCTGTTGTCCTCCTTGCTTGGTTCTAGACTTCAGGTTTGGCACTCAGCCTACCCTTTACTTTTGTACCTCCACTCATAGCAAGGTGAAACAAGTCCACCCCAAGTCCATTTCCAGATTTTAGACCTCTTTTTTCCTGGTTTGCAAGTTGTTCACCACTCCTGTTTCTCACAACTGCATATATTCTTCAGAAGCACTCACCAGTCATGAAAAATGACTGTTAGCCTATGAACTGGCTCTGAACGCTTCATCTCAATTATTTGTTATTTGTGTAGTGCAATTGGTCTGCTTAATTACTCGCTTCTGTCTTCTTGTGCCCTCAACAGATGGTTGAACACACTTAAATCAAGAGAATAACTGAGTTGAAAAATAACAAATGCTTTTCAGCTGAAGAATGACGGATAGCACACTTTGCAGGATTTTCACAAATAGACGCTATTTAAGTATTTGAGTAGGTTATGTGCTCAAACGGCAGTTTTGCATGTACTCATTGCATTCATGAAAGTGGCTGTTGCGTATACAAATCCCTTCTGTTTAGCCAGTTTTATCCCCATTAAATTCTGAACAGGAAGAGATTCCTGGCTATGGGCAGGAAGAATATGGAGAGTTTTGGGGCTGGCATTTCTCAGAGAGGACTAGGCAAGCATATAAAGCTACGGGCATTTTTAACCTTGGGATGATATAATGAACTGAAGGTACAGGTTGTAGCCCTGAAGTTTCATCTTTCAGCTCTCAAAAAAAAAAAAAAAAAGCCCTTGCAGGTGTTGCTCAGCCCCAAGCAGATGCTGCAGCTCCAGCCATAGCTCAGGCATGACCACCTCTGCTGCAAACACAGCCTGGTGTTCCCATGCACTCTACAGTGCTGATGAGCTACTTGAAAGGCAACATATTACTCATTTCTGACAAAAAAAAAAGTTTTTTTTTCCATCTCTTCCTATGCAACTTTCCTTGAGTGGTACTTCAATGCCTGAAAGTTATCTGAAAGCAGAATTTCCTTCCCTCTTTCTGAGAGAAGAGGGAAGAGCTTCATTGCAGAATTGGCTGTCTCCTTTTTTAGAAACCACAAAAACTTCCTAAAAAGTAACCACAAGCACCCAGGACAAGTAAACATGCAAATTTCGCTCTAGCTTAAAGCAGCACCAAAAACACAACCCCCCCACAACCGGAGCAATAGAAGCCAGCGCTATCACTGTGGATGCACTTGCACGAACAACATCCCCCTGCTGCTGCAAAGCAGTTGTTTAGTATCTCAACCTCCAATTTTCAGCTGAGCCATGTCCTGCCTGAAGTCAGGGCTGAGTCTGCTCAGCCAGTTATGTCACGAGGGTTGCATTCAGCTGTCCGGACCTTCCTTCCACAGCTCACATGACTGCGCTGGCTCCTCGCCCTCGTTTATTCACCTGAATGAGGGATGCGAAGCAGGTGTCTTTTGCTGCCATGCTGATGGCTTTTGTTCAGCATCACCCAGCCAAGTGGGTTCTGCTTAACGATCTGCGCTACATTCTTGGTGTATGGTACAGAAGCCTAGCTTTCAATATGGTTTTATTTAGGTTTCCCTTGGCCTCCTCAGGTGCCTGCTGCCTTCTCTAAATGCATATGATAAAGAATTCCTTTAAGGAACTCCCTTTATTTCCTCCTCTTTTGTCAGGCACAACTGAGCTAAGGTTGTCTCTAAGCATCTCTCTGCTTTCAAACACAGTTTCACACTTTCTGTCTCAATTCTGTTACATGCTTGTCAATCCCATTTGCTCCTCAGCGTGGATAAGACCAGACTGGCTCTGCTTAGAAACAACAGGCTTTGCTGAGAGTTAGAGTATTTCCTGAATATTGTTCAGATTTCCTGCAGAGTGAATTGACTACAGAAGGCACATATCTATTTTTAAATCCTCTTTTTTTTTTTTCCTTCTCATCTGCCCCAGATTAAAACTCAAAGGGATTTGGAATAGATGCTCCCAACTCATCAGTCTCTCATACATTAATACCTAAGATGATCAATAGAAGAAGCTTGAAATGCTCTACATTTCATGATGCAAGTTTCACTTCATTTTTAATTCTTCTGAACTTAAAAAAAAAAAAAGTTAATTGTTTATCCTTGTGAATCTAAAATTTCTCAGATGCAGAGCCTGAAACACTCCAATGGGAACAGAGCTCCCAGGATACGTGGTCTCCTGTAAGACACCACGTGCTTTGAGAGTAGGATCCATCAAAATAGATCGTTAGGAAACGAGTCTTTGGGGTGTTTTAGTTACCCTAAATTTTGAGAGCATTGGTCCATTGCAAGACTGGCTGATATGATTATCATCTCTTTTATTGAAGAAAACGCATTGCTTCTTCAGTACCTTTGCGGGCTCTGAGTCACACCCAGGAACAAATCCCCAGAAAACTCCAAAGCACAGAAAAAAACACTCCAACATTAAAATTATACCCACTTTACACAAGTATGCATGTGCACACACATGGGAGTGGGTGTGTAACATGACTGTGTGTACTTGGCAACTGCCAAGAAAAATGCAGTGGTTTAAGTTTTTTTTTTTTTGTTTGTTTGTTTTTTTTGTGTGTGTGTGTGTGTGTGTGTGTTTCTTTTTTTTTTTTTCTTTATTCCTCCCCTGGAGTTTTAGTCTGCCTGTCAGCTCCAGGGGAGAAGGGAATGGGCAGACTGCATGGAGAGCAGGAAGAGTATGGCAGAAACAATGAGCTTGGATTTTCTCCAGGTGTGGCCAGGGATAATGCTGAAAGAATTTCTCCAAGCAGCATGATGTAATAAATAAATAAACAAATCTAGTTTTATGCAACAAACTGCTTGGGTTAAACAGGGCAGATAGTTAAGGCCAAAAGACAGTATTGGAAAGAGGAGGAAAATAAAAGTATGAGTTCTAAGATTCTAACATTCTCCTAAAAGAAACCAAAACCAAGTTGTCTGGGACATCCATTTTGACAGCTGAACTGAAATTCCGTTTTCTCAACAGCTCTTCCCTGACTCTGACAGCCCATTACCACCTCCCAAGGCCAGGTATTTAAGAGCTATCATTACCTGGCTAGTGTTGGGTGAGAGGCACCAGAGTGATGGTCTTAGACAACACCAGCTCTCATTCATCTTTACAATAAGGATAGTTAAATAGAGCCTGGCCATACAAACAGCAAGGGTTTCTTCAATTTCTCTACTTACCTCTCTTTTTTACACTGCCAGGTAGCATAAATGAGCAAAGTCATGTCTTTCTCTTCCTAGACCAGAGCCTTTTTTGATTCCGGGTGGAGTGTTTTCAGGGAGAAATCCAGAAGGAGAAATGCCATGAAATAATGCCTGGGGAAGTCCTTCGGGAATATCAGGTGCCTGACTCCTATTTCAGACATAATCCATATTTTATCCAAGCATGAAAGGAAGAGCTGTTTGTCAGATACTTTGCTTGTTGCAAACCACTGTGTGCTCAGGCATCGCAGGAGGCCTTGTGACAGGCCTCAAACTCAATGCCCAGACAATTCTTAGCATAAGATAACAAAGCTCCTCTGACTCTACCTCATGTGGATGTCCCTACAGCAGAAGGACATTTCTAGCAGTTTAGTGCCTGAACACCACTGCCTACTTACCTTAAATCTTCATTACATTGAATATTTAGCTACAAACTGTGATAGTGCAGTCTACCCAGTGTGTGAACTCTGCCTTCCCAGCTCTGGGCTAGGTGACCTCAGGCAAATCACTCAACCTCTCCCCCATAGTTTATTTTCCTACACATGAAGCAAAAAGAAATTTTACTTTGGTCCCCCTCCATTTTGCCTCATTGTTAGCAGATGTTTGAAGGCAGGGACTGCCTTTTACATATTTACGCCTCACCTCATGTAGGCCTAAGTCATAAACACAAACACCTGGATCTAACTTTTTTAAAGGGTACATTTCTCCTGAATTCTGTCACACTTCAGGCTTTCTTGAAGGTCAAGATTTTGTTTGTTGTCTTTGTCATGAGCAAAGAAAGGTAAATGGGAAAAAGCAAATGTGCCCCAAACGAGAAACTGCTGAGCCTTCTGTATAAATGTTTCCATTTACTCTGAGTTGGCTATGGATTTCCTTTATTTAATCTTTTATAGCTATATAAACAAAAAGATGAATCCAACTGCTTCACATTTCTTAACGAAAAAGAGAAAGCCTAAATGTGGCAGTCACAGTGTCCTGTCAATGTCAGTTTTAAGGGAATGAATCTTACACGAAACCTGTTAATTATGAAACAAGGAAATCAAGTGATAATAGTTGTGGGGTTTTTTCCCCTTAGAGCTATGGTCTTAAGACCTTAAGCTCCTTTCTGCTAAGTGCTGCATCAACACCGAGCGGAAAACAAACAGTCCAATTGGACTAGGAAGGTCTGACAGATAGTGATGGAAATGAAAAATTTTTACTGTTTTACACAATAGTTTCAGAGCCTTGGTCCCTATCTAATGTACCCAAGGCTAGCAAAGTAGCTTGTGCCAGAGCTAGGACTTGACATCAGCCCTTCAATATCATCATGTAGGTATTTGGTTCTTCCTGAAGTGTGTATATATACACATACGCATGTATATACAGATATGCTAAATACTAGGCTAAGAAGCACAAGCGTCCAATGATTTTTTGAACACAGACTATTCTTTTTGATACCCGAATAAAAAACTAATGGGCATGGGAAAAGGTAAAGGGGTTCTGAACAAGTTATAATCACAATACCTCATATAGAACTCGATGAGAAAAAGAATTTGTTTCTTTTTTGATGAAAACCGATATAAGTTGCCAGTGTAGCCCTTTTCCTGTACTTCTTTTTCCCCTCGCACTAACAGGAACACTGGGGTCACCCTGCAATCAATAAGTCCTGTCCCTGAACGCAATAGTCCCCTCTCTTGTCCCTATCCTAGGGCTTTCCAGCAGTGGCTGGTGGCCCTACAGCAATTCCCTGGTGTTACTTTCTCTCCCTGAGGAACCGCAGTTTATTTGAAAGTATCTCACTACGTTGCAAATTAAAAGCAACCTGAATGGTGGCCTGTAATAGCAGGAAGATAGCGTTTGTGGCCCTTTTTCCTGTTATGAGATATATAAAGAAGACACTCAGAAGAACGGGGGCTGATGTAATGCAGCACAGCTCCACTAAAAATCACTGAAACGAAGCCAAATGGGATTGACTGAGAATCCAACCCACTTCCAGTGTTTTTTTGTTTTTTTTTTTTTTTTTTGATAATTTGCTTGTAAAACAACTGCAACAAAAGTAAAGTATAACCTGAATACAGGTCAGCCACTAGGCTAATACAGACTTCCCATAAATGACTGGAAGGCTTTACAGACATAATCCACGTACAGCAGAACTCAGCATTGCCATGGAAACAATTACATTCAAAGAACAAAACACAATTGATATCAAGCCATTCAGAAGGCATTTAAAACTTGTTATGCACTTAAAGTACAAGGAAATTAGTTTGCTAATTAACACACTGTTCCCAACCATTGTGATTTCTTTCTTTAATGGTGAGAGTGGTATTTTCTGCCTTGCTTTCTTTCCTAATGCTCCCTCCAACAAACACACTTAGTTTAAATACAATATTTCAGCATTTGTTTCAAGCCACGTAATAAAAGCTCAAACTGCAACCAGTCTTTATCCTTTCTTTTTCAGCCAATGCCTCCAATAGATCCTTTTTAATCTCCTCTAATGTCTCTAATGTAATGAATCCCATATATAATGACATTATAATGGTTAGAAAGTGCTTAGGCAAGCCTTCCAAAAAGAAATAGACTTCAAACTCTTTAAACAAAAAGCCAAAACAACAACAAAAACCCCTCCAATAAAAACACCTTTTAATTAACTGCAGTGCTCAGAGCGCTGTTTAATTATGAGTTATGAGTTCTAATATCCCAGCCCCAGTTTTGCAGGAGGTCAGTCACCATTTTCCCCAAGTTTGCAGCAGAAAAGCTACGTAATGACCTAAAATGACACCTAGCACTTGGAAATGCAATGCTGGGTGCATGTCAATAGAATAAAATATCTTCTTTACGACAATTTTAGCATAAGACTCCAGAAGTGACAGGACACTGCAAGAGATTAACCATGTCTAGGCCCCAGGGACCTCAGAGAGAGGGGACTTCTGGATATTATACTTGGAAAATTCCTTTATAGCCAGTAAAAATGTTTCAGGCATTTTAAATCTGGTAACATCTGTAGCCCTCAAGTTCTTGATTCATTCCACTTTCCTGCAGGCATTTAATCAAGATGCCTGAAAAGGACGTGCAGTTCCAGCCACTGGACAGAGTCAAAACCCCAGGGAGCAATTCAGATCTCAGTTGGGCTCATTTCCTCTCTCTCTTGTATTTCTATTATATTCTGTGTTATTGGAGTTAAATCCAACCCCGAACACCACATTATAATATTGTTTTCCCTTTACTTTGTAAGAAACTGAGGCACTGAAAGATGCTGTGATCTGACTTTTATTATTCAGCAAATCAAAAGAAGCACACATTTCAAAATCTCTCATCCTAATGCCTTTTGCAGGAATATAAGATCTGCTATTGCTCATTCACTGATTTTGGCACCAGCCAAAACGAATCTACTTTTATTCCTGTTTTTTCAGGCTGCCACGTCCCATCCTGGGTAGAACAGTCTGCAGCAGCTTTTTCATCTCTGTGCAAAGCAACCACATGTTTTTTTCTTTCTTTCTTTCTACTCTCAGTGCTTCTGTCTAGGCGTAAAACATTTTCAAGCTCCTCTCATTCATTCACCAGTGAGCTTGAGACAGCTGCATTAGCAGCACTGCCAATAAACAGCATGGTTAGGGAGAGCAGCACAATTCAATCCTAAATATTGTAGGCAGCCTGCAAGAATAACACATCTCCTAGCTAAAATCATGTTCCAATCCTCATCTTCAGGGAAAGAAAACGTAGGCCAATATTGCCATGCATGGCCAAATACACCTGTGGCTTACTCAGTAGGTATACTACTGGCCCCAAAGCGTGGCTGAAGTTGAACAAAAGCCTCAGATTCACAGAAGTCCTTTTTGCATGAAGGCAATTAGAGCACATGTTCTGAGTTAAACCTACTCCTAAGAGGCTTGCTGGACTGAGATGTTGGTGCTTAGGGCACTAAAGTAGTCTTCTAGCAATTCCCAAACCAATTTGGGCTTGTAGCCTCTAGAAAATGAGACAAACAACCACCATAAACCACCAACCCCCAAAACAACAACAAAAATCAACTAAGGGCACTGAGGAGCACTGCTATGTCACAAGGCCACAATCATCAAGCAATTTTTGAGGCTTACACTGGAAGAACAGAAAAGCAAACCAAGTGCCTGATTTTCACAAAATCCTCCTTTGAAAAAGACCTCTTGGCAGAATCAAGACTCAAGGCAGAAGAAATTCAGCTGCTCGGTCTTAAAATAGTGAACCTGAAGACGAAATGGAGGTACAAGAATGCTATGGCTAATCACAAAATCTAAGGTTGGGACCTCAGCACCGTGTGCACGATTCTGCCTTGATGAGCCAGAAAAGGTGCATTGGGAAAAGTTTAATGGTGCTTCTTCTTTTAGGCTGCTCAGACTGCAGGAAAAGACCAGGATGATCTCTGCATGTAATTTTCACAGAAAGTGGGAAAACAAACACTAACGAAGCCCTCACCGCCTGATTAATTTTGAACTATCCCATATTACAGGAAATGAAGCTGACCTCAAAGAGGGACTTGCTGGCTAGACACAGACCAGTCTGGCAAGCAGTTATTGACTACGCCTTGGCAATAGTGGGTGGTGACAAAATTACTTCTGGCCCCAAGGTCCTGAGATATCATCATTTCCCACCTTGGCCAAAACTGTAATTTTCCATCTATCATATCCCTCCCAAGAACAAAACCTCCAACCCTCTCCCAAGCTAGCTCCATAATTTTATTTCCTGCCACATTGCTTCTGCTCCTGCTGAGCTCCTGTTCTCTGAAAGACGATCTTTGAGCTAATTACATGGCATTAGCTATGATTCTGTAACTCTTCCCCCACATCAAAAAAAAAAAACAACACTTGAGGTAGACTAAATCATATTCAGAATATACAGTTTCTCTCTTTGGGAGCCTAATTCCTCTCAGAGGTAACTTAATCACCAATTACCCACAAACTCAGTATCAAGTGTCGCCACCGAATTTAATTTGCTTCCTGACAAAGAATGCCTTCGCAAGGATATCAATACCTGACATAGGAAACAGTTTGTGAAGCCAGAAGAAAAAACAGACAGAATGAGAGTACTTTAAGGTGCTTAATCTGCTTTTGAAAGTATACAGGCTGTAACTGCACTATGATGGCACAAACCTTAAATGAACAAGCAGACCGAGTGAGAAGGTAACTAGTTCAGGAGGAG